CTCTCAAGTACAAATAGCTTGCCGAGGAAGAAAGGAGAGGCGAAGGAAAAAAAAATTTTGGTGGTTTGGATCATCCTTTTGTGCTCATAAAAAAAATTGAAAGTCCAACTGCTCTCCTTAAGTATTCTTTTTTACTTAATTATGAAATTTTTTAGACACTTGAGATATAAGTTATTCTTGCACATTTTTCAAATAAATTAAAATTGTAAGGGAATTTTTGTTGACTTTTGATCATATATAAGGGGAATATATTCCATGGTGTTTTGTTGAAAGGCATCCACAATTATATTGAATGTCAGAAGAAGTGCCTTTGAGAGATACTCGAGCTAAGAGGTGTTTTCGAGAGACATCCTTCATAGCGTCATTCAATTAATATTATGAAGCTTTTAAATATATTTCAGATGTTTGTTTTGGGTTCATTTGAATTTAAATTGGATCACTTTTTGGTGTTGGCAACGTAGTCTTGTTGAAATATTTAGTTTGACTATAAATTTGTTGAAATCGGGATTCAAATGGTCCTAAATTAAATTATAGAAGTTTCTAATTCAAAAATTGTCATAAGATTCTTGTTGATCAAATGGATTTTATGGAGACGTATCAATTTTATTTCAATACAAATCTTGACAAAAGGTAAGCAAGATCTAAAAGCATTAATTGAGTTCATATTTAGGGTTCCAAGGCCATTGATATTACTATCAATTTCAATAAGTTGTGTATCTCTTTTTCAAAGGCTATTCATGTGCAAATTATTGCCTCATTTTTAACTTCAATCATAAAGACCTCCCTTGGGATTGTTAAGTTTGGAAAGACTTAACAACCAGTTAAGTGGCTAGAAATAAAAATTACTTGCATTTGGTAGTAGATTTCAACTTGTTAGATTCACCATTTCAATTCTATTTACATAGCTTTACCATTTAACCAAAAAATCTTAGAAAGAAAATGACTAATCTCATTAATATATATTTTTTATAATAATGATGAATACATGATGTCGTTAATAATATCACACACTTTTGAAAATCTTTAAGTGATGTTGTAAATAAAATACGTACTTGGCTCTCTCTTTAAGCTAGCAATAATAGCGGTTTACACATCTTTCAGGATCCTGGGTTCTATGGAAAGTCAATTATAAAAGGGTTTGAAAATTTGGTTCTCAAACTTTTTAACTGTAATTAATTGTAATAATCGTTGTCTGAAATCTATATAATTATTTGCTCATAATTCTAATTTTCACTTATGGAGTAGTTGTGAGTATTACAGTTGAATAGAGCGCAGAGTAATTAAGGAATATGAATTGAGAAAGAGGAAAACTGAAAGTCGGATTTCTTTCTCTTTGAGCATTACAGTGCCAAGTTTTGGCGCTTTGTTGCTATGCACTTCGGAAAATAAGAAAAAGTGGATTTTGATGGAAGAGTTGTGGGTTGGCGGTGTTGCAATGGTGCTGGGAATGGAACCAAGAAAGTTTAGGAGAGTTTGGGAGTCTTGCTGTTGGCTTTGCAGTGTCAGAAGTTGTAGCGCTGCGATGTTTGACTGATTTAGTACTTTTAAAAATAATAAATATCTCATTCCACTAACGCACTCTCAAGTACGAATAGCTTGCCGAGGAAGAAAGGAGAGGCGAAGAAGGAAAGAGAAGTAAAAAAAAAAAGATAAGATTTGGAGTCCAAAATTCGATTTTCGTCTGTTCAGCTAGTTTTAAAATTTGTCATTCTCGAGGTAGACAACTCATACCCTATTTCTACTTTAAATTCTAAAGTACATAATGGAAGATATGCTCTTAAAGGTATTTTTCTTAAGTTTTAAAAAAAGTTTCATGTAACTTTTAATATATTGTTTTACTCTCTGTTATAAATAATTTGAATATAAGAATGCAAAATTTTACTGATCGATTTACTTTATATGAATTTTTATTTATTCTAAGAAAATAGAAGCATTTCTGAACCTTAGTACAGTTGAGAAAGTATACTAAATTAGCATTTTAGACAATCTCTGTGAATTTAATAAATTTCTGAGCACTTAGAGTTGTCAATTGAAATGTGGAGGTTTTCTATACAAGTTGTTATTTGATGTTATTTACTTTAAAAGATTTTAATTGGACGTTGTATTTGCATAATTATGCATTTTATGACATTCTGGAGTTTCTGGATTAGAAAGAAAGGCAATATGAAATTATTTACTTGGGGCCAAGGTGGAAATGCTTTACGCCGGATTATTCTAATCTGACTCTGAATTGATTATGTTTTGGAAGTTTTGTTCTATTTTGATTCTGCTATGCATCTGTCTTAAACAGGTGCAAGATTGAGAGTTATAAGAGACATAAACATAAGTATATTATGAACTTCATATGTGCATTCATACACTTTGAACTTTAAAGTTAAATAATACTTGTATGATTTTGTTTCAGTTTTTTTTTTTTGTTATGAATTAAATTCTATTATGGGGAATTGGTGTTGGCCTACTGAGTTCATACTCATTCCATTATTTATGATCTTTTAGTAAAAGGTAAAGGTCATGCTAATAAACAGTTAGAGAACAGGGAGGCCAAATTTTAGCAGATATTTTAAATTTTGTTTAGAATTTCATAGTTCATATTTAATTAAGTTTTGTCTAAAAATATTGTAATTGATTATTTTGGGAAGAGAAAAGAAGTTATGGTTTGCACACTCAGAATGTTTATTTTATATATTCTTGAAGATTAGCTCACTCTTTATATAATTATATATTCATTTCGGGAAAAAAAATTTCAGAAGTATAGAAAAATATGTTCAAATTCATTCTTTATTTCTTAGAGCGTTACACTAATATGCTTGTAACATCAAATCTGCTCCAGGATCGTCCGGGCCAATCTGGATCGTCCCGGGACGATCAGTGCAGTTTTTGTTCCAGATTCTGTCCAGAGGTTACATGAAAAATTTCCTGTATGGATCGTCCAGGCCGATCTGGGATCGTCCCGGGACGATCAGTGTATGGCAAAAGTCAGAGAGCAAATCGTCCTGGAAATTAATTATCGTCATGCGAAATCGTCCCAGGACGATGTGGAATTTGGTCAGATCGTCCAGGACGATCGCACAATCGGCCGGGCCGATCATAGCATTTTAAAGCTGAAATCAGCTCATTTTGAAGAGAGAGAAAATCAAAATAAATATCTAAAATCATTTGAGGAGAGAGAAGCTCGAGGAAAAGTTTGGAAAAGCTGATTTTCGGGCGACGCCGGGCCGTTTTCGTCCGACGAGATTGTTCGAGAAAGTGTTGTACGCAAGGTAAAGCACATTCCGCCTTTCTCAATTTTCAGAACGGTGAAGTTTGAATGATTTTTCTGTCCGGATTTCATTTTTGTTAGCGAATTTCGTCCGTATTTTCCTATTGGTTCAGTTTTTACCGCGTAACTTTTGATATGTTTCTGAGGTGCCGAGTGTGCACATTTTGATTATTTTCTGGAGAATTTTGACCGGGTAATTTTGATTCCGCGGTGTTTTATTTCGACTGTAATTTTTGATGATGTTTAAAAATGTTGTGGCAGTAGAATAAAAGTCTTATATTATTGCTGTGAATGTTCTGTGGTAATTTGGTAAAATTCTGATTCTGTCAATTTTGTGTAAATTCCGTATACTGCCGTTACGCTGCCGGATTTTCGTACGATTTCTGAAATTGTCCGGATTTGTTCTGAAATGAATTGATATGATTGTGTGCTATAAAAAGGGAGTTATAAGGGGTCAGGATCCTGTGAGATCCTGTCTGTGTCAGGGAAAATCTGAAATGAGCTCTGAAATCTATTTCTGAATACAAGTTCCGGATCCGATGATAAGTTCTGTTCTGGTGCTATAAGCACATCTGTTCTGGTGCTTTTGATTTTTGTACAGTCATGACTTTTCTGTTCTGCTTTTCTTTATGTCTGAAAGCCATGAGCTGTATTTGTACATGATTCTTTTGAGGAAGAAAAAGATAGATGATCTGTTCCGTTGCATTTGATGTTTATAGTAGCTCTGTGCGTCTGTTTTTGCTATATGTTTGGAAGAAAGTTTTGAAACAAATTCCAAAGCCAGATCCTGGAATCAGTTCAGTCAGTCTGAAAGTTCAGGCCTCACGACCCGATGCGAGCGGGACCCGTCCCGGTCGGGTTGGGTCGTGACAATGCTATTATTAATGACTTCATTAATAATGATAAGTATATCCCTGGTTCACTAAAAGCAATTTTGTGAATGTTTTATGCTTTGTGGGGTTTCTCCTATTTTGGAAAATATTTTTTCATTAACATGGGCATTTTTTGATGATGTTGACCAGATATGGGTTGTAGGATAGGGCAAATTATTGTGTTCGGTGTCCGGATTCGTCCGGACACCAACAAAAATGCGCCACATCACTCAAAAATACTGTGGCCCAGTGCATCCGGGTGAGGTGGCGTGTCCGAATTGGATGTCCGCATATCAGGTGATCAGACGCAATAATTTGCCGTAGGATAGACACCAATTTTTAGCATATTGATAATTGCCTTTGACAATCTTACTTCCAATACTGACCATTAGGAACTTTGCATCATTTATTAGGGACAATGATGTTTATATATCTTTTTAGAAGTTGATTTGAGATGCAACATGACTATTGAGAGCATTAATTTAAAAAAATATTTTAATAAAATATATTAATATTTTACTAATTTCATTTAAAAATAAAATATGAACATTTTAAAATACAGCATAGATATTTTTTAAAATTTTGGTAAAATTTTATTTATTTTTATAATTAAATGCACAATTATTCTACATATTACGTTTTTTTTTTATAAATATTATATGATCATAATTTTCAACCCTTGATCTAACCTCATTGAAGCTTTAAATTTTGAAACTCTTTCTTCCTAATCAACGTCACATATCGTTATTAAAAAATTTGTTCCCACTCCAATATAAAGCCGCATTCCCAATCCAACCCGACACCTGTCGCCCGTTCGCCGAAAACCAGGGAAGAGCTACAGCTAAATACCGGCCAGGTCTCTCTCTCTCTCTTTTCTCTTACAGTTTCTTTTAATTTTTTTTTTTCTTCTCTCCCTAATTTTTGGAGCATACTTGCGATTTCCGCTTCGATTGTAACCTGGATTTGAGCTCCCTGTGGAATTCTGGAGTTTTGACCTGAGTGTGATTGGAGCTCGGATTAGGGTTTTGGTTGGCTTCTCAGTGTTAATTGATGCTCTCCAGGAAGCGAGGGATTAGCGGTTCGATCATTGGATTTGCTGAAGTTTTAAAGAGGAGGCCGGAAGATGAATTTCAGGGGCATGGAGATCGATGAAAACGATGGCCGGCAGCAACCGGAAGCTGCGCCGGCGCTGGCGCGGCAGTCTTCGATTTACTCTTTGACCTTCGATGAGTTTCAGAGCTCTATGGGTGGTTTAGGTAAGGACTATGGTTCGATGAACATGGACGAGTTTCTTAAGAATATATGGACGGCTGAGGAGAGTCAGGCCATGGCAGCTGCCCTCGGTGCTTCTGTCGGTGGCGTTGGTGGGGCCCAGGCTGGGCTTCAGCGCCAGGGTTCGATCACCCTTCCGAGAACTCTTAGCCAGAAGACCGTCGATGAGGTGTGGCGTGATGTAATCAATGAGAGCGGCGCCGGTGGCTCAGGTGTCGGCGCCGGTGGATCCGGGTTCCAACACCATCAGCGGCAGCCAACCCTTGGGGAGATGACCCTCGAAGAATTCCTGGTACGAGCTGGGGTTGTGAAGGAGGAGATCAGCATTTCGACCTCCAGACCTGTTGTTAATGGTATAGTTTCTTCTGGCAACGGCGTTTATTACGGAGATTTGTCGGCTTCAGGAAACAACAATACCGGGATAGCCCTCGGCTTTCCTCAGGCGGGTCAGGGTAATTTGGGCATCATGCCGGCCTCAATCCCTAGTAATTCTGGTGCTAACCTTGCCATGTCCGCCACGGGCACGAGGTCATACGCCCAGCAGCTCCCATTGGGCAGTAATGTCAATCTCGGAAGTCCTCGGGGTATGAGAGGCGGAGGACTTGTTGGTATTGGAGATCCGGTAATCGGCAATGGTTTGATCACCGGGGTGGTTGGTTTGGGAGGAGGGGGTGTCAACGTTGGTACGTCGGTATCTCCGGTGCATCAGATTCCGTCGGACGGGCTTGCGAAAGGGAATGGGGATCTTTCTTCTTTGTCTCCCGTACCATACGTTTTCAATGGGGGACTGAGGGGGAGGAAGTGCAGTGGAGCAGTGGAGAAGGTTGTGGAGAGGAGGCAGAAGAGGATGATTAAGAACAGAGAGTCTGCCGCAAGGTCTCGTGCCCGGAAGCAGGTGATTTTTTGCGTTCCTGCCTTCATAAGTTGGTTATTCGACTGAACCAAAGGATTGTATGATATGTAATTTGCTGCATTTTAGTTGATTTTTTTTTTTTTGTAAAATTTGAGCAAGACAAAGTTTAGAACAACGACTTTTTGATTGATAGTCAAGGGAGCTCAAAGGGAGCTGCGTCATTGATCGGATTGCCGCGTTTTTTTAGCGCTTTTCACGCGTCTTTTCTCTGTTTCTAGTCGACTGTGGATGACTTTGACGGGACTGTTATTAATCCTACTCTAATTAGAATAAAATTACACTCTCCAAATAAACCTAAGAAAAGAATGGATTTTCTAAATTCCCATGGAGCACATCAGCATACGTATATATGAAACAATTTCCCATTTTATATTGGAAATATAAACATCCCCTAAACATCGACATTATCGATTCACAAGAATCAATAAAACGCCAGAATTTTTGGGATTCTATTTCACCCTGATTATCCTTATTTACTAAATTAGACATGCTATTATCTTTGTTGAAAAAAAAAAGGGAAAATTGAGGAGTTTATATGGGAAAACCAAAAGGGTAAACTAGAGGAGATAAGTTTACAAAGTTTCCTATTTAATCTTTCTGTGTCTACAACATTTTCTATGGAATTGTTGTCAACAGCTTTTGTGTATTTCAGGGATTGTATCAATTTTTCCGACTTCCTGTTCTTTTTTTTTTTTAAGTTATTGAAGAATGCTTGAAAAAAAAGGAAAATTGAGGAGTTTATATAACCAAAAGGGTAAACTAGTGGAGATAAGTTTACAAAGTTTCTTATTTAATCTTTCTGTGTTTACAACATTTTCTATGGAATCGTTCTCAACAGCTTTGTGTATTTCAGGGATTGTATCAATTTTTCCGACTTCCTGTTCTTTTTTTGAAAGTTATTGAAGAATGCTTGGATTTACTTGTTCTACGTTGCATAACCAAAGCTAGTCATTCCTTATGAAGTTGCAAAGCGTTGCTTTCCTGTTTCTTTTTCAGGGACTTTTTGTTTTGGTTTGAAATATGTGCTTGTTATGAGCCAATCTTATTACTTTCTCATTGTAAAATGGACGGATTTACATATCCTTTATCTGTAAAGTGCATGATTGATTAACTTGTTTGCTTCTTAAATTAGTTAGTATGTGATATTTTACTCAAGTAACTTGTAGTTTACTCATCTTTGGAACTTGTAGTTTACTCGTTTTCTTCTCTATTTGGACTAGGCTTATACGATGGAGCTAGAAGCTGAAGTTGCTAAACTAAAAGAGCAAAACCAGGAACTTCAAAAGAAACAGGTAGTGCACATTAGCTAATCGTTTGTTAATTCCTTTTCTAATTTTTATATGCATTCCTGCTAACTGATCTCTTTTCTTAATAGAAACCCCACCTCTCATCATTAAAACTGGAATGGATGCCATAATATCTGATCTTTATTGCCTTTATATACTAACCTTTGTATTTCTTATTATAAAATATCCTTTCCTTGAGATTGTTCCAATAACTCACTATAGTCCTATTCTAATCAAATTGGCTATTTAGGTGCTAGAAAATTTTGTCTCGCCGCAAATAATGCTAATAGAGCTAACATAGATATTTGTGATGAACACGCTTTGTTTTCCTAGCATAGTTTGAAGAAATTATCAACATAACTGAGGCTTGCTATTTTAAGCTAATTTGTTGTTATAGGGGTTGTATGGATTAAGAACTTCAAATTACTTGCTTTTATGTCTGTTTTTTATATCACTTAATGTGAAAAAGAATGCTCAAATTGAAGCAAGTAGATTAGAGGAGGGGAATCTTGGAATTCTTATGACATTAAGAGAGGTGATGCAGAGCAAGAATGTTGTGACAAAAAATTAATTTTCTTTGGAAAAAAAATTATTATTTCATAGAAGAAATTTGATCTTCAACTGAACAATATTTTTTTAGTTACTTTCCAAGTGGAGTTATCGTCTTGTAAGAAGTTTGATCAGCAAGTGCAATTATAGAAAAAGTTTAATGATTATTAATTTGTGGAAATATTATACTCAATATCATTTACTGAAAATTTCTGATTTTGAAAATTTTTATTTTGTCAAATCATTATGGAAGAAGCTGATTATCATCATGATCGTCACGCAAATTTTAAAACACTTCAACTTTGATTTTGTCATGAAATATGGAAATATATGCTGCTTCTTTTATAAAAAGAATACGGCATCAATATCCTCAATCAAGGGTGGAGCAATTAAGAAAGAAATTAATGATCAAGGAAGCAATATTATGAAATCACTCTTTTTTCCATTTGAACATAACCTAAATTTGTATATTTATATCTTTATGTTATTATTCTTCTTGAATAATAATATCCCTTCCTTTGTGACCTTTATGGTATCATGGGTAGCCCCCTTTCGTTTGCATAAAAAATGCAATCATAGAAAAATCTGATAGTAATCTATTTATAGAAATTATATAATCATAACCTCTTTATGACAAGTTTTCTATTTTTGAAGTTATGATGTTTCTATTATCATCATGGAAGAGGTTAAAAGAATGATCCTATAATTTATTTCAAATTCAAAGTAAATTCCATCATATAATATAAATGAAAAAATTAATCCAAAAATAATTCCTAACTAATTTAATCAAAATGAGCCTAATAAAAGAATATAACAAATAAAATTTATGAATTAATATGATTAAGTTCAATCAAGGCTTCAATGCACTTTTCATAAAATCAGTGGATGAAATACGAAAAATTGGGAGGAAGAACGCTAAAAAATAATTTTTATTGAAATAACTATAAAGAGAAATGCAAGATACAATTGGATCTTCAATTGGAGAGGAAGTTTCGGCTCTCCCAAATCTCTAGCTGCCGGCTAAAGCCCAATCAACCTATGAATAAACTAAATTCAACAAACAAGTCATAACCCAAACCCTAAAAAAACAACCTACTTAAAGCATACTATAATTTTCCCAAATCCCCAAACAACCATCTTATTTTTCCCACCTATCCCCCTCTCTTTCCCTATTCAAAATTGTACCCGGGCCCACTCCAAAAGTGGGGGGTGGGGGG